AGACACAAACAGACATATATAAAAACCATGTCTTCACAAGCCTCTACACCTTCTTCTCCAAGCTCAATAACGGAAGAAATTTCTTTTCGAACAATGTCGGACGTTGTTAAGGATTTTGATACAGAGGGGATTATCAAATATTTGGGAAGGAAAGACTTGAAACTCGATGAAGATGATATTAAAATTCTTCGTAAAGAGAAAGTTGCTGGTCGTGATTTTCTTAAGAAAAGCTTGAGCGTTATGGAATGAAAGGAGGGCCAGCAACAAGACTTGTAGACTTCATCGAAGGTCTTAGTCAGAAATTACGAAATTATTCCTCACTTAAAACTCTCGATGACTTAAAGGGAATGTTGCATAAAAATAAGGTGAATGGGAAGACATAAAAAGCATCAAGCAGTTTACTCCTGGTAGGTAATTAATTAATTTTAGAAACCGGCTAGATAGGTATATTAACCTTATTTTTTATGTGTATGTGTTTGCTCTGACTGTTTTTTTTACGTTTTAACTCTGCCTTCTCTATAATGTGCTGTAATTCTTTACGTTTATGTGACATTTATTTTTAAATATGAAATACCATGAGTAAGTAATAAAATTATTGAACCAAAATCAAACTCAATTTGCAACCGAAAAAAAATGCAATCGACCGGAAATGAACAGGACTATATTTAAAGACTTTCTGATTGTTTTTATTTAGGAACTCAAAAAATAAAAATTTGAAAGTTACATAAGTGAAAAAATTCATTTTAATTTTGCAAAAAAAAAACAAATTCAAGCTATAAATGTATAAAGTGCCGATTAATTGTCTTTACAAGTAAAACCGTGAGTGATCGGATCCTCCCTACATTTCAGACCATCTTTACATTCTTGAGTCGCACAATCTTCATTAAGTCCTTGCTCACCACAACCCCTAGTAAGCCGCCTGAAAATATTACAACGTTTCACGAAGCGGAAAGATTGATCTATCGATGAAATTTCAATCAAGCATTAAATATGAGAAACTTGAATATTTACGAGAAAAATTTAATATAAAGTAAATGGGAAAGAATTGATTTTAACCTTCATGAGCAGGTGACGCATGAACCAGCATATTACAGACGATAAAATGGATAATGAGAAGCCAAAGAAAAAATTTCATCGCTTTTGTAAGGTAGGATGGTAGGGTAATCAATATGCGTTAAAAATCAATGGTAAAACCAAATTTCCTGTTATCCAGAACAGAAGAAAATCTTTGTACAAGTTAATTTTTAAGGAATAAAAAAGGAGCGTGATATAAAAACAGAAATATTTTTTTTTTCAAAACTAAGTTTATTTTTAAGCTTCCAGAGAGTTTTGTTGGGATAACTATCAACCATTCTGAACAGACGTTATATATATAGAAAATTTCAGACTAATTAATTTATATGTCTCATTTTGGTTCAGTTCTTTTGAGCATATCAAACGCGCAATTAATTATCATTTTTTGTTTGAAATTTCGGATGTAATGTTAATTCGTGTAGGGAATATCGATATACGATTAATAATCATTAATTTTTTAGAAAAGGTGAAATGATTAGTTGCGCTTATTAATCGATGAACGAAAAAATCGAAATTCAGAATATCATGATATTGCGGGAAGTAGTAGGATGGATTTCTGGGATAGCGTTGCGAACAAGATAAATGGGCAATTTAGTACTGCATACACAGGATATAATTGCAAGTCGAAATTCCAAAATCTCGTGAGGGATCATAATGTAAGTTTAATAATAGGCGGGATTAGAACACTATATAATATCATTTAGTACCAATCATCCCACTTTATAATTCATACCAGTTAATGTGCCAATATATGGCTGGAAATAAATCTGGACGACGAAGCAAAGTCGGTGAACGATATTTTGAGGAATTTCGAACTCTCTTCTGGGAGAGACCACGTAAGTTTATAAAGCAAGCATTTGCCATTGATTTAATCGGAAGTTATAGATCGTATAATATTTTTTTTTAGCTGGATATAAAAATAGAGACATTTGACTTGGTGCATAATACAAACATTGCCACAAGACGTGCTCAAGAAAGACGCCGTAACCGTACCCTACCTCCAACTTATGAGGAAGTGTCATCAATGCTGAGTTATCGCGAATCTCCAGCTATCCCACTCGCAGAGTTCCTAGTAGAAGAGGCGAAGTTAGCAATCTCGATAATACAAGTAATATAAACATTGCAGATGAAAATCCAGGCCATAGCAATTCCAGTGATTTATCATCCAATTTGCCAAATATACCCTTATCACGTAACGAAAGTGATATTAGTATGCAGGATGTGGGTGGTAGTCAACCAGCCTCTTATCTGGAATCTATAAATGAGGAAGAAAGATAGCTCCGCTAGTGTCTCCGACACATAAAAATTACCGGTGTAATATTTGATGCATTAAACGTTTTGCCAGAAAATTTATATGTGCGTACCTAACCATACAAAAAAATATGTGTCAGAGACACTAGCTCTGCTATTACTATCTATTAATAAAATTATGCCTCAAAGATGGCTTTTTTTTAAATCCGGAAGAAATTCGAATATAATGTTATAGATTCTATGTTAATAATTTTATGTGGCGACCATATTATTAATATGCGCTGATTAAATGATCAGAATTTTTATTAGTTTTTTTCCCGCTACTTAAATCGTAATAATATCCTGCATCATCATCATCACCAGAAAATATTACGTTTATTTTATCCTCATCCTTAATAGCTTCGCTGTCATCGTCAGAATCATCATCGTCAGAGATATCCTCATTAGTCTCATCATCAGAGAAATTCGAATTAGTTGTGGTCTCGATACTTACCTGAATTTCCGGTTCAACCTTTTCACTTACCTCAGCTTTCGGAAAATCGTCCGGACCTGAAGAATTAGAGATATAATTCGAAGAAATAGATTTGGCAGGTGTACTTATCTCAGTTACTGACGATATATTGGCTAATGTTGAATCAGAAAAGTTAGTGGTCTGAGGTTCTACCGAAATTACATTCTTGATAACGTTTTGAATTTGACTATTAGTAAGACTAGAGATGGCATATACACTGTAAGAGACTTGTTTAATTTTATCTTTTCCAACTCCATTTCCCCAAATAGTATACGAATTTTTTTAGCTCTTAGAGTTTTCATACGCAAGTTTCCTGATGTAATACCAGGTAGATAATCTAACATCTCCTTGTATAATTGCGTTCTAGCAGTTTTATCTGTAACCCCTAACTCACGGTAATTTTCGATAACTTTATTTTCAAAATCATCTGAGTAATAGTACCAAGCTAAGATTTCTTCATGTCTAGATCGTATTGCATAATGAAATAAACGGACTAAGCTTTGTTGTTGTGATTTGAAATGTTCGATACTCTATAATCTCAGAGGAAACAGGTGGTACAATAAGGTTGCTACTGAGTAATTCTTTTATTAATCCTTGCTCAATATACTGTCTTTTAGTGGGCTCAATCTCATCAGGCTCCTCAGTTACGTAAATGTTATGATTTGTAGGCTCGCTCTCTTGTCATTTTTCTTTTTTGCCGATCGTCAGGATTCGTGACGGAAATTTCTTGGAATTTTTCTTTTTCAGTTTCCAGAAAACTCGAGGATGCTACTGCATCTGAAATTACATGAATTTTCTCATCCCTCTCTAAGGGAACAGTTTTTGAACCGCATGATAAATTGGATCGCTCTGATGAATTATTATCCGGAGATAAGTCTTGCTTTTTTTCCCGGTTCCTTTTTCTTATCATATTACTAACCCTTTCTTTTTCTTTCATATCTAGGAAATCGACAACCTCCTTTTCTTCTGGCGATGTAGACTCCGTGAAGATAAGTAAATTTGACTCCTGGCATATGTCAGAATTTATTGAGGGAGTATCATCATCGATAATGTCTTGTGGTAATGTCACGGATATTTCATTAGTAATGACCCTCGTCTGTTTCTGTTCCAATTCGTGATTCTGTCTTTAAGCTCAGAATTTTTTGTTTGACTTAACTTTGTGGTCTGTTCTAATTCTGCAATTCTGATATCTTTTTCTTTCAGTCTGTTCTAGTTCCACGATTTTGACCATAAGCACCGTATTTTCACCCATAAGTTTGGCATTTTCTTCTCTGAGTAAATCTAGTTCGGATTGCATGTTTGGTAATATTTTTTTATATAATATACGGATATGTTCAAAAGTTTGAATCGTGTATCAAATAATCATGACAAAAAATCTGAATTATTCCGCGTTACGATTTGTAACGCCGATCACTTTTGCCAAGAAAATTATTTCGAAAAATTCTTAGTTATACATGTATATCTGGCGCCTCTTTGAGGCACATTACACCAAAAAATATAATTCGTGATACATTGTATATGCTTCTATAACCGGAAAAATTCTTAATTAATAAATATACGATAAAAATACAGGATAAATTGCAGGATAAAAATACAAAATAAAAATCTATCTATTTATGGGATGGGGATGTTACTGTGGGACTTTGGGTAGCATTTCTTGGTGGGTGTGTATTGGCTTGCTCCAAAGCTTGTATCAATAAACTTTGATTCACAATCATAATATTTCTAAGAGTTAAAAGCAAATGAATAAGGGATTCTACACGCCAAGGAGTATTTTTTGTAAAAGGTATTTCCACCTGATCAACATGGAAATATCTCGGTATCCCACTTGCGTCTTTAACTAAAATATTTAAATATAGATCTTTACCAGCTACTTGAATTCCAACAATGCCAAATTGATTGTTCGTTGACCTACATGCAACACCTACAAAAATTATATCATCCAAAGTCTCTCTCCATAATTTCACCGAATCATCCTCTCTTTTTGATCTAGTACAAAGAATTCATGATGATTCAACATAAGCAAGTTCAAAAATCTTACCTCCATATTTTGCCATAACCATAACATCTGGCTTTTTTCCTATTGGAGTCTTGTGTGTAGATCTTTCTTCATTCGATCCAAAACTTTTACGAGCTTTGCTTGCCATACTTTGATGTTTTGCTGTACTTAGAAAAATGCCACCATTTGGAAGATCCTCTAAACTAGCTCGAAGTAAAGATATAATAATATCTGTAATATAGGTTCCTTTACTTTGTGTACCTCGTATTTCACTAGATGCAAATGCTGGATTATTTCATACTCCTTCCCTATAAAATAGAATTATAGTAAGATAAATGTAAAATATTTAGATATAAGTACATCTACATTTCACGAAATAAAATTACATACAAAACACCTAATATATGATTTATTCTATTAATTTTGATTCCTCTTCTTTCCACTTCTTATTATATATAACATTTTTGAGTGCATTCGAAGTATCAGCTCTATTAAAATTATTCAAAAATTCAATACATCTTGAAGTAATGAAAGTAGGGAGAACACATTTCAGATTTTCACGTGGTTCTAAAAAAACTTGCTTCTGTCTTTGTTCTAGATTTTTTACCAATACAGAATCATCAGCAATAATCATATTTGCTTCAGGATTATGCTAAGTGAATTCAGAGTGATCAATAGAAATTAAATTTGTTTTGAGAGCACTATAAAAAAAATATATCTGTATCAGCTATTGATGCACCAAGTTTTGATTGTAATGTTCTTAAATTTTGATCAATTTCTTCTCTCGAGTGATTAGGAATAGCTTCTTGTTTTGCACTTAATCTCTTTACTGCATCCAATTCTACAATATTTTTATATATAATTTCTGTTTACAGCAAATGTAAAAAAGTAGATATTGTTATGTTTATTTTCAAAAATTTTTTAATTAACAAATCTTTTGAAAATAGTAGAAAATATGAAAATCTCCAAAAATAGTAACAAAACAACAAATCAATAAAAATAGTTTACATATATTAGTTATTTAATAATCATATAATTATTATTATTTATTATTTTAAATTTAGTGATATCTATCTTTTTTATCTTTATTATCTATCTTTTCTATCTTTTCTATCTTTATTATCTATCTTTTCTACTTTTATTATTTATCTTTTTTATTTTTTCTACCTTTCATATTTATTTTTTCTACTTTTTCTATCTTTATTATTTATCTTTTTTACCTTTACTTTTTATATTTTCTACCTTTTCTACCTTTACTTTTTATCTTTTCTATCTTTTTTATCTATCTTTTCTATCTTTTATATATCTCTTTCTATAATTTTGTAATGTAGATAGTATTAAAATATATTAAGAAATTTTGTATAAATAGGAGTACTGTTTTCACACACTCTCTCTCATACTTTAAACAAATTAATAAATTTTAATCTTTAATATAATAAATTAATAATTATCTTATTGTTATAAATAAAGATAGTTACCAAAATTATTTTAAAAAACTGAAATATTTAGCTTCAAAATTGAATTAACAAATTAAAACTGAATTGTTGAATTAAAACTGAATTGACCGAATTACTGAATTAAAACTGAATTGCTGAATTAAAACTGAATTAACTGAATTGCTGAATTAAAATCAAATTGATTGAATTAATAAATTAAAATTGAATTGCTGAATTAAAACTGAATTAACTGAATTGATGAATTAAAATCAAATTGCTGAATTAAATTGAATTGCTAAATTAAAACTAAATTGATCAAATTAATGAATTAAAACTGAATTGCCAAATTAAAACTGAATTGATCAAATTGACAAATTAAAATCAAATTGCTAAATTAAAATTAAATTAACAAATTAAAACCAAATTGACAAATTAAAACTGAATTGCTAAATTAAAATCAAATTAACAAATTAAAATCAAATTGATCAAATTGACAAATTAAAATCAAATTGACAAATTAAAATTAGATTAATCAAATTGACAAATTAAAATCAAATTACCAAATTAAAACCAAATTAATAAATTAAAACCAAATTGACTGAATTGACAAATTAAAACTGAATTGACAAATTAAAACTGAATTGTTAAATTAAAATTGAATTGCTAAATTAAAATCAAATTGATAAATTAAAACTAAATTGACCAAATTGATGAATTAAAACCAAATTGCCAAATTAAAATCAAATTGATCAAATTGATAAATTAAAATCAAATTAACAAATTAAAATCAAATTGCTAAATTAAATCAAATTGATCAAATTGATAAATTAAAACAAATTGCTAAATTAAGCTTAATTATAAATTAAAACTAAATTAATTAAATTAAAATTAAATTGTCAAATTAAAATCAAACTGTTAAATTATTAAATTAAAATTAACACTTTAAATATTAATACTAATATATCAGTTTATACCAAAATAAATTTATATAACAATCATATAATGATCAGGTATGATCACAGTTGATATCTTATTGATCTTTATGTGCAATTAAAAGTAATTAGATAATAATTTAATATAATCAATGTATAATTAATATGTGATTAATATGTAATTAATTATTAATTAATTAATATATAATTAATAAATAATACTAATTAAAATTTTAAGTTGAATTATTTAATTAAACTTTATTAAATATATATAAATAATTGATTATATAAAAAATATATATATAAATTTAATATTATTTTTTATAATTATATCTTAATTGTATAAATTCTTCAAATTCTTCTTTTTCTAATTCATCTTCATTTTCATCATCTTTTTTTTAATGATACTAATAAAACAACTATAGTATAAGAATCATTAGCAATTTGATTTTGTCAATATTTAACATGATTTGGATCTTCAGTTTCTTCTCTATTTTTTAATAGTTATTATTATTCATTTTAAGACCAGTCAGCTTAATATCTATAAGAAGAAATAACTATAATATTATATTCATCTTTTTCTGGCCAGCATCAAAGAGTATTTGCTGCTATTTTAATCTTAATACTCCATTTGAGTAAAAAATTATCTTCTTCAAAATTATCTTCTTCAATTATTGATGTATTATTATTATTTTTTATTTCTCTTTTGATAATATAAGTAAATACAAAATTCAAAATATTATAATTAATATGATTATATTTTGCATAGTTGATTGCAGTATAGATCTGGCAAAGTCCAAGAGAAAAAGATAACTGAATTTTCTTGTTCATATATGAAATAGTAAAGTCTTTATTTGTTACTTCATAATTATAGCTATCAAGTTAAGAAAGATTATATTCTTTAAGAATCTCTTTAATATTATTAACAATTTCAGTAGAAAATAAGTTCATGGTATTGTTACCATTTTGAGCTTTTGCGTATGAAAGTATTTCAAAATGGCAATAGTGACTGTGTTCACGGCAATTTACT